TCTTTATAAATAAATACAACATTATTATTATTTTTAAAGAATTCTTTAGCGGCCTATAATCAGAAAAAAATTAAATATATTCTAATAAATTACAGTATGTTAATATAATTTTAGATAAATCCTTATTGTAAAATAAATGACTAACCACCTCGTAATGGTCTTTGTCACAATATCCTTTGGAAAATTTCGCAAATTCAAAAACTTCTACGAAATCAATTTTTTGTTTTATATGACAACAAGGGTTATACTCCCAATTTTCATCGAAATCACCTCATTTACAAATCTTACAATATTCTTGAACAGGATCAAAATCATATTCTTTGCACTTATTTTCCAATATTTCTTGGAATTTTATTTTAGCTTGCTTTGAATATTTTCGATTTTCCAAAACTTCCGTGAAAACTCTTTTGTAGTTTAATTGGTTAATTTATTATCAAGTACATATAAAAATATTTTTACATACTGTAATACAAATTAATTTAATAAAAAATTTTAAGAAGTTGGACAACCTTTTGGGAAGGCATCTTTTGGAACATAAAAACTATCAAGGGTTTGTCCACCAGTGTCATGGCAAACAACTTTATCATAGGTAGGATCGGTAGTTGTATCGAATGTGAGACCGGCACAATATACAGGATTGGCACGCTTATTGATTGACGAATTTGCTGAAATGTAAAGCGGAGCTATATAGAGTATAGCCAATATAAGTGGTAAAAAACTGAATTTCATCTAAAAAAATAATTATAAATTTATAAATAAGAGAATAATAATTCCGAAAAATTAAAAAGAAACGAAAAACCAGGACATTTAAGAAATTAGAATGTGCAATAAAAATTGAATTATTTATATATCAAACATGATGTGCGGCGTACTGCTGTACCGTACGTACTTATACGTACTTAAAAAATCTAGGCATCGTATAAACGGCACATCACTAATCAAACATGACCAATAAAGAAGTCTCTATGATTTCCTTAGCAAAAGGTATAACCTGCTCTAAAAAAGCTTTTATAATTTTTGAAGGTCCCTTTTTCTAAAGTACCGAATCCAAAAGTCATCATCATAAGACTCACTAATAAATATTTTTCTGTCAATCATGTAAGTATCATCGGGACTTAAATTAGCAATTTCCATCTTAAATTTTAAAATGTTTTTTTTTTCAGACTTATTCTTGCACTAACGATTAAATATTTTTCTTTCATCTTTATTTTACCTAAAAAGATAAATTTTTCATATTTCAAACTACAAAGACTTTTCATTGCAATTGTTAACTCATTTAGATTGAATAATACTTATCAAACCTTCCTTTATGAATATTTTTATCTTCTAATAAATATGGACAAAATATATGTAGTTTGTATCGCACCCTACACGAACTCATCCCAAGTAATTTTTAAATTATAATACTAGTAAAATTTAAGAATTAGTATTTATTTAATTTTTTTCTGATTATAGGCCGCTAAAGAATTCTTTAAAAATAATAATAATGTTGTATTTATTTATAAAGA